TATGTTGCAAATACAATTTATTGCATCTTGGACTTTATCAATACGTAATTACTATTCTTTATGAAAATCGGCTTTAGAAGAGAAAATAATATCATGAACATATATATTTATTCTAATAATTATTTAAGTAATATAAATAGGTAGAAATACATAAAAATAGATTAATTTCATAATATCTCTTTAAAAAGCTTTATAGATGCAATTTCTCTTTTATACATGTTTATAGGTGATTGGTAGATTAAAAACTTGGCCAACAAGTTAGCCACATGTTGTATGTATTGATAGCTTGTTGTTCAAATTAACCATGTGATGCATATATAAGAAACTTGCCTTATAAATTAAGATATGTGTCTTGTAAATTGGACACATATTGGAGATCTTTAGAATGTCACCAAATAATTCTAAGGTAGCTAGTTGTGAAGGTAAATTTTTCTCTCAATCTAAGGATATAAGAAACATGTAAATCCAAATTATTATAAGTATTTTATAAAATTTTAAAGATATGAAGTAAATAATTAAAAAATTAAGTAAAAATATTTTATATTGAGGATAATTTGCTTATAGATCATGGATTTGAGCCTCACCAAGGCTCACATATAATGCATATGGGGTATCAACAAAGGCCATAAGGCCTTAGTCTTATCTTCCTAACTCTATTCAAGGTGCTACAATCTATATGGAACTTGTACACCTCCTTTTTTACAAGGACTAGACTAGCTGTAAATCCTCCTATTTTTTACTAATAAAACTTATATTTTTTCATTTTTGACTTCACCACAGTGTTTAAGAATATCCAAACAGCCTACAAACCTTGTATGGCCTTCAAATCTTATTCTATTTTTTCATAATGGCTCCCAAAGAGATAAAACTTAATTTTATCAAAATCTTAAAATCTTCTCTAAAAATTCCTAAATAATTCTAAATAAATTCTAAACAAATCCTAAAAAACCTTATAATATTTATTTAAATTTATATTTTTTATATTGATGATTTTTTTATTAATAAAATAAATTTAAGTCTACTAAAAATTATATTTTTTATACGATTAACTAAAAAAAATGATTTTTATTTTATGCTTCTTTTAACTACTAACTAATCATTAATAGGATTTTTATAAGTAATATATGTAGTTAAGAGGCTATGAACCCCATATTCACCACTCATTAAATTGATGCCACACAACATGTTTAGAAGGTAGAATGGAGGGACTATCAATTGTGAAATTGTTGAATTAATTTAAATGAAGATGTTTGTAGTTCAATTCAAATTAATGCCTTCCAAGCAATGATTACCGATATTAAATTTAAATTTTAAATAAAATTTACTATACAAATATAATAAAAATAATTAACTAAGTTGTTACTATTAATTGACTATAAGAATAAAAACTTAAGTTTGAATTAAAAATTAAGTTAAAATTTAAAGTTAAAATTAAAGTTAAAAGTTAAATTTAAAAAATTAAGTTAAAATTTAAAATTAAAATTTTGAGTTAAAAGTTAAAATTAGAAGGTTAAGTTAAAAAGTTAAAATAAAAAATTAAATTTAAGAGTTAAAATTAAAAGCTAATTTTAAAAATTAAAGTTAAAAGTTAAAGTGAGAATATTAAAGGTTAAAATTTAAACTTAAAATTTATTAGCCAAAAGGTGAAATTTCGAGATTACAAGTCACTATGAAGATGATAGTAAAAATAAAGTAAGAGAAGTGAAAGCAAAGGTACCTTGACAACATGCAAGGATTGAAGGCAGCGACTCCCTTCTATTCCAAAATTTTCCAAAATTTTTAATCATCTTTGATTTGAATGGTTCTTAGCTTATTGCAAGACTAACTTAAAGGCGCTTCTGATCTAATAATTCTTGTTGCAATCTAATGATCCAATCGTAAGAATCCCTCCTTTAAAGTTGAGTGATCTAAACTACCATGGTGACCAACCCTCTTCACTTAGAAATTCACTAAAAATCCATATTGTCTTCAAATCCAACAAAACTTGTGCCTTTCAAAGCTTAGCTTATAAATCTCGATGTTTCCAAAAATTTCAAATAAAGCCAATTATCAGGCACTGAGAAGTACCTTTCCAAACTTGATTGATTCAAACTGCGAAGGTAGTCAACTCCCTCAAATTCGAGAATTCACCAAAAATTCCTTCTTACTCCAAATCAAATAAGTCTTATCTTGTCAAAAAGCTAACAACAAAAGCTACAACCATTTAGAATTTCACATTGAAATAAAAGAAATTGAGTAACTGATTGAGGAAAATCCGTGGCCCTTAAAACCCTTGGAATATTTGGAAGGCCGAGGAGCTATCTACCTCAATGAAGCATATTTTAAAACTTAATGACCATCCTTCATAATTCAAAATCCATACATACACAATCACAAGGTTCACAATGAGATTTAAAATCTAAATAAAATTAAGATTAGGATTTTGGCCAAATTTTGGCTTGGCTTCGCCCTTCACTCAAAAGAAATGAGAGTGAGGGCTTGGAAAACCAAGCCTCTCTTATATAATTGAGTGGAGGCTCATAGAAAGGTGGCTAAATCTCCACCCTTGATTTTTAAGATCCCTAATCTAGATCTACGGCCTTCATTCATCTAAGAACCAATCTCGTTATCAAGTTGATGGCTCTTGTAAGTAGTCAAGAAAGCATTTTTTTGGTTAATCTAACTTCACTATTGTGTTCAAAACACCTTTTTAAGCTAAAATCAACTACTCACATGCCTCAATCCATGCTCAATTATAATTTTCATGGAAGTTTTTACTTACAAGGATCTTGGCAATTTTTTATAAAATTCTTCAAAATGAGAATTTCATTGCTTCACTTGTATTTTAAAGGAGAGGATGCTGATCTTGTTTTCTTCACTCCACGGGATAAATCTGGTGCCACCATTGCATTAAAAAAACTTCTATTAATTAGAAGAACCACCATGCCACTTGAATTTGTCAAATTTGGAAGAAAACTCAAAATTATCATTGCTAACTTCCCTAAATCTTTTAGAGAATTATAAATCCAACTCCTACATCATGTGAATGATTATAGGTGCACTCATAGGCTTTTAATCAATCCTCATGGTAATGACTGATAACATCTAAATTATTAAACTAACTAAGTTGCTATTCTAATTTTTTTTAACTCTTATCACTTTAGTCCTAACTAACCTAATTCAAGGAATTATGCTATAATTTATACCATCAATGGTTGTAATCCTAAAAATTCTATAAAACTAAATTCCACTCATATAAATCCTAATCTAACATGCCTAATTATCATAAAATAGGAAAATAACAAAAATTTAGACTCTAAAGTATAATTGAGAGCTCACAGAGGCCAATAAAGATATTGGTCTCAATAATTAATCCTTAATACTTAACAATAAGTAAAAATACTAAATCAACTAAGATAATTGCTTCTACAACTTACTAAGATTCTATTTTTATAGCTTTTCTTTTAATAAGACTTTTGTAACTTATAAATACTTCTAATTATAATAAATACTTAAATAATCAAAAAAACTTTTTAATCTTAATATTTATATAATGAAATGATTTAAAACTATGCTTTTAACCAATTCATCAATTAAAGTGCATTGGTAGGACTCACATATGACAACCATCTGGGACTATTTGTAAGAATAGAGAAAATCCAACTCTTATTTTTAACTCGGTCTATAAAAAAGTAAATATATATATATATATATATATATATCTTTAGTATATTGTATATTGTATACTAAAGATATAAATAACTTATAGGTTTGATTTAGAACTACTAAAAAAAATGACAATATACATTAATATTGGAGCCAATGTTTATACCATGTATTTTTTAAAATGACTTCCATTAGTTTAAAATATTTAAACTAATTTGCTTGTGTGTTGTTTAAAATGTTTTGATTTAAGTACTTATTAATTTTCTTAAAATTAATGACAAAATTTCCTAGTTTTGCAAAATAATACAACTACAATATTACATTGCATTTAGAATTCATCCATTTCAAATGATTTCTTAACCTTAAACTTACTAAACGCATAGCACCATTTGCAATTGATCCCTTTCAAACAATTGTAAGCACAAACCTCTATTCCAAACCCCAAAACACTACTTTGTGGATTTGTGAAGTAATCCAAATCCACTCTTGACTAGTGCTTCATTCATCATCAAAATTCTTTGGTCAACCCTTCAATTCTTTCAGATGAGGCATGCCTTGCCCCTTGAGGTTTAGGGTTCATTGTTGGCAAATTTGTTGCAGTGTGAGTGTGCTTCCATCTGGTGCTGGTGTCTACAGATGGCCAGAGTCAGGGAGTCAGGCATTGCCCCAAAGAGAGTGAGCAACTGGGCATAAGTGAACATTGCAATGACAACTTTAGCAGTATTGCAAATAGCATACATCTATGGAAGCAAAGTTTTAGAAATAGCAGAGCTAACGTTCACCATTTACTTGGTTGGAAATTATGATCGAAGCACAACCTGATGATCTTAATAAACGTGATATCTAGAATAGACTAAGGTGTTTATCTCCCAATATGTGGACGGAGTAGTAGGTACATGAACAAAACATACAGGAAAACGTGATTTTCACCTGGTAACCTTTTCATTGACGTAGCGTTTATCACAAATCTTTGAGCAAGACTATTAGGATTAGATGAATAACTCCTGATGAGCTGAGCTTGATGCTCAACGACAACGGTCTGCTTTGAAGTGGTAGAAACAAGAAACACTGAACGAAAATGGGTCATGACTAAGTGAACTATATTGAGATAACATAGAGTGACTATCAAGCGGAAAGTCAGGTAGTCACTCTGAAAGGAGGATCGAATTCACCAATACATCCGATTCCTCATACATTCTCCTACAAATGCCTATCACAAGAGAAAAGCAACAGCCCAGGAACAGCTGACTGCCTAATAATTTCCATCCGGACAAGAAAATGTCTTCACGACAACTTAAGAAGACAATGAGTAGGTTGTCAAACAGAACAGACCGAGCGATTGTAAAAGTGGATCGTAAAGAAGAAAGAAAAAGAAAAGAAACTTCTAATTATAAATATATTAAGTGCATTTTCTGCGCACTAAGAGCAGTGAACAAAAGCGGCCACACTCTCCCCTGCTCCACCAGGAAGGAAGCTGGAAAAGGTCCAACTTCGTCCCAATTTGTTTTCCAAAATGGTACAGCGAATTATCCCTTCAAGATGGTTCTTCAGGAAACTGAAATGAGTGACACTACGCGTATGACATGTACAGCCAATATGCTACTTTCTACTCAGACCTAGCAGCAAAACGTTCAACCTTCTTGTTACTGAGATTGATACCCACCATTGCTTCACCAAGGTTTTCACTAACTTCCGCAAGGACATGAGCATCGTTGTAATGTGTAACAGCTTCCACAATAGCGCGCGCACGCTTCGCAGGATCGCCACTCTTAAAAATCCCTGAACCTACAAACACTCCATCACATCCGAGTTGCATCATCAAGGCTGCATCTGCAGGAGTAGCCACTCCTCCAGCGGCGAAGTTGACAACTGGTAATCTTCCAAGCTGCTTGGTCTGTCTCACAAGCTCATAAGGTGCAGCAATTTCCTTGGCGAAAGAGAAGACCTCATCATCGTCTAAGCTCTGCAATCGCCGGATCTCGCCCAACACTGACCTCGTGTGTCTTACAGCCTCCACAACATTACCAGTGCCAGCCTCTCCCTTGGTTCGGATCATGGCAGCACCCTCCGCAATGCGACGCAAGGCCTCTCCTAGATTGCGGCATCCACACACAAATGGGATCCTATAGTTGTGCTTGTTGATGTGGTTAACGTCATCAGCTGGTGTCAAGACTTCACTCTCGTCTATGTAATCCACACCGATTGCCTCAAGAATTTGAGCCTCCACAAAGTGCCCTGCTCAATAAATTACGTTTCAAGGTTAGAACTCATTTCCTAATTGAACGAAAGCAGCGTGTAAGAAGGTCGTCCTACTTTGGCAAGAAGCTAACCCCTGACTTCCAAGTAAACCCGATCGATTATGCAACTATTTCATTTCCAAACATTGGAGACCGCATGGACGAACCTCATCATGATAAAAGAACATTTCTTGAGGGCTTACAAAAGAGTTAAATTACCATCCCTCAAGAAAGTTACGAGATCGCACCGACCAGAAAACCAACGAAGTACAGATCACAGGATGCTAAACTAGATTTATGTGCATACATTCTGAAGAGACGCATCGGAAACTTCTAAGAAAATAGTTCTAACTAACACTGGTGCCGCAGCTAGACGAAAAAAATTATGTAACCCCTAAACCCTCACAAAGATTCGGGGCATAATCCCTAGAAAACAAGTACTAAAGACGATTCCAAACTACATAACGATTTAATACACATTATAGAAGCCATTAACGAGCTAAAAACTTGCATTACAGATAAACCCAAATGCAATGTAAGACCAGGCGAGCGAGTAGCTTACCAATTCGGGCCTTCGCCATAACGGGAATGGTAACGGCTTTCTTGATCTCCTTGATCATCGCGGGATCGCTCATGCGGGCAACGCCTCCCTCCGCACGAATATCTGCCGGCACGCGCTCCAACGCCATGACGGCCACCGCCCCAGCTTCCTCAGCAATCCTGGCCTGATTGGCGTCCACCACGTCCATGATCACACCACCACGCAGCATTTGCGCCAAACCAACCTTCACAGCATACGAGACTGACTTCTTGCTATTGTTGTTCTCCAACAACCCATTTCCATTGTTACGATAAATCGCAACAACGCCATTCCCCTCCATCTCTGCCTCCCTCTCGTCCTCCTCTCACCACTCCAAAATGCTCCAAACTCCTCGCCAATCCTCCCGTCTCTCGCACTTTCAGCTATAACCCACAAGCTACACCAAAAATCACTTCAAACCCAAAGCATTTTCCGACATTCAGAGCTCGTCAGGGCTCCGATCAGCACCTCGAAACCGGAAGAGAACTGCCTAAAGAGGCGTCGCAACGGATTGCGGCAGAAAGCTCTGGATCCTTCTCCAACAGTCTCGCCCATTCCGGTCAGTCTCGCCCCCCATAATTCCCAATTGGTGGGGTCGGGCAGTAGTTGACCGGAACATCAGGTTACGGGCAGGAAAGGGGCTCTGGGAAGAAACTATTGTGTTCAGCCACGGGTCTAGGATACTCGGTTACCGGCTATTCACGCGGGGATAGCAGGTGGCCGCCGTAGGCATCTCCACCACGATTCTATAACCGCACAGCTCTTCACAATAGTCATTGTGGAAGTGGGTTAGGTACGGCCATGGGGTTTGACCGTTCAACCCCCTGTGACCACACCCACCATAATCACTGTGGATAGCGGAGATAGCCAATGCCCGTGCCCCAAGCAAACTTTTCATGAATTTTGCAAATATATAATATTTAAGTAGTAGTAGCTAAGGTATAATTTTAAATAAAGGTAATTTAAAAAAAAAAAAAAAAAAAAAAAAAAAAAACTTTGTAAATCCATTTTCAAAGCATGGAACACTGTTCCAAAATGGGAACCTATGTCCTCATTTCATGATCGTGTGCATTAAAATTCTCAAAAGAATTCAATTTTTAAAAATTTACTAGTAGATATAATATTATTAAAGCTAAATTACAATTTATATTTATATATATATATATATATATATATATATATAATACACCTAATATGTTTTGAAAAAAGATCATAATTCTTCAAAACAAATAAATTAAAAAAAATGTATATAAATATTTAGTTAATTAATCAATTAAAATATTTTAAAATATACATTAAGATATATATTTGAAAAGATAAAAACTCTAGATTCTAATCTTATAACATTTCAAAAAATAAAGATAATTTTTAATTAAAAAGCTATATAACTTTTTTTGAATTATTTAAAAAATACAAAAATTATTTTTATTTATTGATTATATAAATAAAACAATTCATAAATTTTTTGTTACAAATATTTTTATGTAAATTTATAATTCTTATTAATATTTTTTTGCATCCAACATATTTTTAGATGCAAAATTATTTGTCAAATGCAAAAATACTAATATTTTTATAAATCTATTCAAATCTATGCAATAAAAATATCTTCATGGACTTAATCTACTTTAAAAATGTAACTATCCTGCTATCTTTTTATTTAAAAAATTATTTTACTTTTATTTGTTATTATGAGATAATTTCTAAGATGATAGTTTAACTAAAAAGATCTCCTTTTAGCATTGTTTGCTATAAAGTTAGCAACTTTTAGGATTTAAAAGATTAAAATACCTCATCAAATAACTCATATGGCAAAATGACAATCAAAATTAGTTTTAAAGTTTTCAAAATAAATTCTAATATTTTAAAAAATCCATATAAATAAATAAATCTTCAATATAGTAGTATTTATAAAGTCTCATAATATTTTTTTATTTCAATTATTTTTTATTTTTTTATCTTTGTATGTGTATAAATATATATATATATATATATATATATATATAATGTTTCATATTTCTAATATGTTTATATCTTATTTATGTAAGTAAAAATTACATATTTTTATGGTTTTTGTATCAATATTATAAAGATATCACATTTCTAAATTTTAGAATGTCTTAAAAATATCTCATTTTAACTACTTAATATTCTTGGAGTACATTATATCACATTATTATTTTTAAAGTACATTCTTTAGTTAATCTAAAACTTCACTCTTATATTGATAAATCAATTATTTATTGATATTCTTGGTTTAAAGGAAATTAAGTTATTCAAGCTTATTTCTTTGTTGAAAAAAGATACTTTTAGTCTCAACTATCATTCCAAGATCTCTTTTGTTTGTTTGTTATTGTAATTTTTTTTTAATTTTATAATTTCATAATCTATGTTTTATACCAATATAATGACTTTATTTTTAAAATATTAGAATGACATTGAATAATAATTATTTAAAATAGTGATTTGAATTGGTTTTTAGATTTTATCTTTTTTTTGAAAGAATATGAAAATTTTTAATTTTTAATTTAATGTATCTTTTATTAAAAATATATAATTTATTTTTAAAAATTATTTATCCAATTCAGAAAGAAACTAAAAAATATATTATGTAAATTTATTATCCCAATAGATCTATCAGTTGAATATACTTACTTCTTATCAAATAATAGTGATAATAATAATAAGTTTTTAGTATTAACGTGGTGTCAAAATCATATTTATTTTATTATATATGATCTTGAAGAGCTTAATGATGTTAGTAAAGAAGTTACATTGGGGTAGAAGATTTTCATGTCTTTCTATTGAAAAAAGCTAAAATATCACAATAGTCTTGTAACAAGCATTAAGAGTAAAACACTTAATTAATTAGTTAATAAATAACATTTATACACATTGGTAATGACTATTATATTCGAAATACAATGTTGCAATTTTTTTGTTGCAAGTACAAATCTAAAGGTTTCATATTTTTATTAGTAGAAGTAATTTTCTAAAAGAAGTTTCTATGGAAATACAAGAGTCTCAAAGCATTGAAAGAAACTTAAAAAATTGTTGGTTGGCCTCTATAACACTTCTTAAAAAATAAATATTTAATTGCAATAATATATAAGATATCACCTTAGAAAACACTTATGCACTTAAATACTAGGAGATAGAATATTTTAATATTAATGATAATTCTTTTTATCCAAAGTTAGTACTTAATTTAGTAATAAATACAAGTTATAGTTCATTAATAGAAGACTTCAGATTTTTCTTAATTAATATTTTATATTTAGAAGTTTCCAAAAATAATTATATATTAAAATCCTTTTAAATTTAGCTTCTCTAAAAGAAAATCAAGTTATAATTAAAATAAAGTAGTAGCAATACTTCAAGTAAAGAGTAGTTTATTGCCTTGACAATATAGAGGAACAAATCTAAATAATAAATGATTGGATAGCTACAAAATTTGTTGATTCCAAAACCAAATAAACTAAATTTTCAATAAACCAAAAAATAACAAATTTAAAATTGGAAAGAAATGGCAAAATTTATTTGAATTATATGGATAATTCAAATATGAATAGACAAAAGACAAAAATATTTTGGATAGAAGGTTTGAAACTACTTTTTTTCAATGCTTGGTTGGCGGTCTCTCTTCAAAAAGGCACCTCTTTTTTTAAATAGTTTTCTTCCTCTCATTGCATTCTTCTTTTTTCTATTGTAACTTAATCTTGTATTTCTGGTTTATCTATTTTATTTCTTTTCACTTAACTGGTACTTGTAAAATGAGATCTAAGCCAAAAAAAATCTTTATTTTTTAACCTTAATTTAAAACTATAGTTGGCCAAATATTGTTAGTTTTATGTTAATAGTATTAAATTATTAGTTGGCTAATTTTTATTAGAATGCATCAAAATTCTCCCACTAAATCTATTAGTATTTTGGATTTTGGGATCAAATTTTGTGAGTACAATCCTTTCTAAATACATTAACTAATGAGCTATGAATAATTGTATTTTGAGATAGAACAAAATCCTTACAAAGATTTAAGCAAAGAGTGATATACTACCTTAATTGTCTAGATTATCAAACTTTAGATGAATGCTTTTCCATGATCAACGAGAGAATTCTTATAAGTTTTAGCAGTAGTAAATTCTCATAGGGCATCTTTTTAATCAGCCAAGAATTAATAAATTTGGAGAATTAAGAATATAAAGGAGGTTGTTTAAAAGAAAGATAGTTCTTAAGCTAGCATCATGGTTAAAAGCAAGAGAATTCTACTTCTCTTTTTTGTATAATTATCTTAGCCATATTTTTTACATCATGAAATCTCATTTCAAATTAGTTTGGTAAAGAGTATACTTACACTACAATTGGATTTATTTTAACTATTAACAAGTTCTTCTATTTATAAAATTCAAGTGGTTGTATATGTTTTCTTTTGTTTTCACCTAAAATTAATACTTTGATAACTTTTTAAGTTCCAAATTTATTACAAATGAAAATAAAAATGAAACAGAAAAATATATATAATAAAATAACAAAATAACAAAATGAAAATAAAAATAAAACTATTTTTTACATATATATAACTCTAAATACATAATATTAAAAAATATATAAATTTATTTTATAATTATAAATCAATTAATAGTTAAATAATTATGTGCATATATGTATATATATATATATATATATATATACACACACACAAACACATTCAACTATGGATATTTATATTAATTAATGTTAAGTAATAATAAAGAGCTGAATACAATGCTTTTCTTTTTTCTTTTATTTATATTAAAAAACATTTTTTCATTTAAAATTAATTTGTTTTCACTTTTGTTAATTCGACTTGTAAGCATTATTTTTCTTTATCTTCTAAAGTTGTTGAAATTTTCATTTAATTCTCTTGCTTCCTCTTCCATGAGAAAATCCCAACTTCTGTTGCTGTGCAGTTTATGTCTTTCATGTTGGCTGAAGTTGATGAAGTTGAAGCCGGATTGCTTAAGTTGGGCATACAATGAAACTCAGAGAATATAACAAAAAAACTGACTACTTATGGAGGATAGATGTAGAAGCATCAAACCCTGGTTTATGGGTGGCTTTGGCACGCCATTGAGACAGAACAAAGGCTTTTTCGCAATTCTCCACTTTCATTAATCACAAGTTTTGTTGCATAGAAATTCAGTCGTCTTGGTGAATCAGAATCTGGAATTTCCATTTTGGCCATTCATTGTGAGGATTGGAATGATTTCAGCTGGAGGTCATTGTTGAAATACTCTTTCAGGAAACAAGAGCGTTACCACTCTTGACACTGGCTTCCTGGATGCGCAAACATTGTTGGCTTTGAGGGTCAGAAGTTATGGTGCTTGCACTTGATGAAATATTGCTTAACTTGATAACTTCGATGGATTACTGTACTTCCCAAAACGGTCCATCATTCAGATCGTGCCAGTGTTCATTGACGAGGGTTCGTTCCTTGCGAAACCGCTGAGAATTAGAACCGACATTAGAATCTGCAGGGATTCTGGCAATCCGCAACTTAAAAAATG